ATGATCCCAGGGTCCTGGGATTGAGCCCCGCATCGGGCTCCCTGCTCCGCGGGAAGCCTGCTTCTCCCTCTCCCACTTCCCCTGTTTGTGTTCCCTCTCTCACTGTGTCTCTCTCTGTCAAATAAATAAATAAAATCTTAAAAAAAAAACAAACGCATTATGTCCAGTGCTGTTCTATTGAGAAGTTTCGAGGACTTCCTGGCAAGAGTAGTGCACTCTGATAAAAGGTAATGCATGTCCTCACTCCTCCAGGGGTAACTTAGCATGATACATACACCAAGCACTACGCAGCAGGCTTTTGTTAAATTTTACCTATCAAAAGTTTGGGAAGATTCTTTCAGTTTGGGTTTATCTATGCTAATATCTAGTGAGGAAAGTAGACAGCATTTTTTCCCCTGGGAAGCAGAAAAGGAAAATCAAAATATTTAGAAGATGCTTTGAAATTAATTTTATTCAGAAAATATTTTTAGAGATATTAGAATATCTGGCAACAAATTTTTGATATTAAATTTGGTTTTAGTTTTATTTAAAAAAAAAATTTTTATTCATTTCAGAGAGAGATCACACGCGCCTGTGAGCCAGAGAGCATGAGCAGGGGGAGGGGAGGAGGGAGAGGGAGAAGCAGGCTTCCCGCTGAGCCAGGAGCCTGACGTGGGGCTCGATCCCAGGACCCTGGGATCATGACCTGAGCCGAAGGCAGATGCTTAATGACTGAGCCACCCAGGTGCCCCTAAATTTGGTATTTTAATGACTCTAGCATGCATACATACAGTAATGCACTCATTTATTACATTTCACCGATCATCAGGTTGTAAAAGGGCATTGTATTTACCTGCCCCCGGACCCTTCCTGGAATTTATATGGCCTCTGCTGGGTTTCACTTTGCACTTATTAATAATTTAGCACTGGGATAAAAATAAAAACAGACTCTCATCTTACAGTGTGAGAACATGGGTCATGTGTGCTAAGTCATGCAGGTAAGATGAGTAGCTAAACCCTGTGGGGTATCCAGTCCAAAGAAGGATTTCATGTGGACTGTTGCCTCTCCTGCAGAATGGCTGCCTCGAAATTAAAGGGAATTAATGTAATTGCTCCTGAGGAGGGAAATGTAGTTTTGCTTTTCAAAGGTCGTTGTCTGAGCTTTAATTACGGCATCCAAACACAGAAGCCTTTTACAGCAGCTTTCCCTTTTAGCAGAGGTAGTCAGCTTTCCAGGAGTGCTGCATCTTTAGGCTTGAGAAATCACCGCATTATAACCGACTCTATAGGGTATAATCTACACATTAAGGCCCAGCAAAATCCTGTTTTCATATTGGTTACTCAAAAGGGGCTTTAAAGCTAGGGTTGGTTTAAGTGGATTTTTCTGATTATTTGAGCTACAACTAGAGCTGTGATTCTCCCTTTGTAGAATCAGTGACTCACGCCTAGATCATTCTTTGACGGTGGTTTCATTTTCTGGGCTGTTTTTGTTTCACATTCGATTGGCTTTGGTTGGTGTGTGCCCTATCAGACTGTCAGGCTTACTTGTCAAATGAATATAGAGCTTTCTTTTAAACGCTGGAAGTCTCTTTTATGTATTTATTTTAGTTTCCTTTCTTTAGAGAAGACAGAATTAAGGTGTTTTCTAGTCCTGAAAATGTTAATGATTAAAAATGCATGTAATATATTGCTAGTGGGATAGCTTAAAACTCAAAGGAAATTTGTAAGTAAAGAGGAAGTCTCTGCTTTTTAAGAACTGAGACCCTGCCACTCTTGCTGAAATGCACAGGGTTTTGAAATAATGCCATTAATTCTAGGTAGAGAGGATCATTGGGAATAAAATTTGATTCAAACTGTAGAGGAAAATGTCCTCAGCTCAAAGTTAAGATATTAAATCATACTTAGAATAAAATTGGAGTCTGCCTATGGTTTGTATTGCTCTGCACTATTTGGCCGCCACTTGGTTCTCCTTCCTGTGTTCTAGCCACACTGAGGATCTCTCTGTCCAATCACCAAGCTCTTTCCCTCAGCAAGGATGGTGCCCTCCGTATTCCTGCTGCCTGGCAAGCCCTTCCTTCTCTTCCTTGCTTTTCCATGGCTTGTCCCCTGCAGATCTTACCCTACATGTCTACCAGGGAGCCCTCCCTGTGCCTTCCCTCAAGTAGCCCCTTTCTATTCTCTTTCCAGAGCCCTGTTTATTTCCTTTTTAGCACCTATCTCAGACTGTATTTATTTTGTTAACTATTGTCTTTGCCCCATAATGTAAATTCTGTTAAGAGAGCTATCAGTACCTGGCACATATTATATAGTCAATACGCTGATTAAGTTGTTTACTGGTTTTAAGAGCTCCTTTTTGTTTCTTTAAGATTAGTTTATCATGCTGGGCCAGAGGGATTTAAGTATCCTCAATATCAACAGTCAAGCCAGTGTGTTTTCTAGTGCTCTTTTTAAAAAAAATTATTTTTGAATATTTTTATTTATTTATTTGAGAGAGAGAGAGAAGAAACCCAAGAAGACTGCACTGAGCATGGAGCCCGATGTGGGGCTTGATCCCACAACCCTAGACCACAACCCCAGCCGAAATCAAGAGTTGGGCGCTTGACCGACTGAGCCACTGAGGTGCCCCTCTAGCGCTCTTACCTGCATTTGTTTTCAGTTTTGTTGTGATTTATTTTACTGTACTTTATTTTATTGTGCTGTGAATGCACAGTACAATAATGGAAGTAGAATTGTTCTGCTCCCAAAAGGGAAAACTCTGCCATTGTATCTGTTCAGTGTGCCTTGTAAACAGCCCTGGATGGCCTCTTTATGGATCTGCCCTCTGTCTCTAAGCTCTTACCCATTTCTAAGCCAAAGGCTGCAGCTTAGCTTCAAGCTGAAAAGGAAATTTTGGCAGCTTGGTTGCTGTCTTTTAAAGGTTAGCATTATCACCATGACTGACAGTTGTCAAAGTGGAAAAAGGGAAATGCAAATTTGGTGAGTAATTAAATTGGTTTTGTGTCATTCTTTGGTGGTGTTCTAAATGTTGCTATTTATCTGTCTTAGGTTATCTATTTAAAGAAGACACCAGAAGAAGCCTACAGAGCACTCCTATCTGGCTCAAACCCCCCCTATCTTCCGTTCAGGTATAACTCTTGTGAGACTTGGGCTAATAGCACTTGCCTAGACAGCTGCTGCTGTAGAGTTGGATTGCTGTGTTTTTAATTGTCTTAAGACTGTGACCATGATGTTATACAGAATTAAATGAGATGGTAGCTTTTATTATTTTATTTTTGCTGAGTTCTTTTCCCCCTATCTAGTAAGAGTAAAATAGCTTTTTCCTTTTAGGAATTAATTTTCTCCTTGAATTCTTTCTGTGTCATGACCTTTCAGCACAAAGAGTGCCTGATTTATGAGCTAATAAACATGTCAAGATTTGATTTGTTAGATTTCAGTACTCTACATCATTGATTCATCCATTCAGTCTTTCATTTCATGAGCATGAGTGAGCTCTGACTGAATGTTGGGGCTGGGGATAGAGAGTAAGACCCTCAAAGTACCTTCTCAGAGACACATGTTCGATGGGGACACGAAATGACCTGTTTAGCACATGAATCTAGCTTATATCTTGAGGAAGGCTGTTTCTCATTACAGTGTTGGAAAATACTTTTTAAGTATCAGCTGAAGAAGGTTTTTTAAAAATTTCAGGTAAACTTGAGCTTGTTTAAAAAATGGAAGGGAACATATAGCCAAACTCTAATAATGGTCATTTCTGATAGAATTATGAAAGATTCTAACAGTTTTATTTTTGCTTTTTGTTTATTTGTGTGTCCAAATCTACAAACATCTGTAATTCTTTTTTTTTTTAAAGATTTTGTTTATTTGAGAGAGTGAGCAAGAGAGCACAAGCAGGGGGAGGGGCAGAGGAGAGGGAGAGGGAGAAGCAAGCTTCCCACGGAGCAGGGAGCCTGACATGGGGCTTGATCCCAGGACCCTGAGACCATGACCTGAGCCGAAGGCAGGTGCTTAATGGACTGAGCTATCCAGGTGCCCCAGAATATGTATTTCTTATTGCTGTTAATCTCATAATTACCGACAATAATGAAAGAAAGGAAGAGCAAAGATTGAGGAGGCCTCTTTGTCCGTCTTCCTTACTCTCCTGTCAACTCACAGAGGGCAGGTCTTGGTGCCTGACACTTAAAAGTGATTTTAGCAAATATTTGAATGAATAAATCAAGACTAAATCCCTTCAGATCCAAGGGGTTCCCATTTCTGTTTCTCAGGCCATAGGAGGGAGAGTTAATTAGGCACAGGGTGGGTGTCAAGGTCGGGAGGAGGAATGGGGGAGATACTGCCTAATGTGCTTGATCTGCTTGATCTGTTTGATAGTCTCAGGAAGTCAGAGGAAAGTAGTGAGAGGAAAATATCCTCCAGTGATCTAGGGGATGAACTAATTAGCTACTGAAGGGCGGATAAAAAGTGACAGATTATGTATAGAAGCATTTTAACATGGAGACAAAGCTTGTTTTTTCCTTCCACTCCTAATGGCTTCTATAATTTGAAAGCCCTTTGTAAAATACAATTCTAATTTTTAGAGAAGGGTAATTATTTTAGTCAGTGTGGGCTACTGTAACAAAGTAGCATAGACTACTACCAGTGGCTTATAAACAACAGAAATTTATTTCTCAGTTCTAGAGGCCGGATCAGGGTGGTCATATTCTGGTGAGGGCCCTCTTCAGGGATGCAGACTGCTAACTTGTATCCTCACATGGTAGAATGAAGGAGAGAAAGATCTCTGGGGTACCTTTTTTTTTTTTTTTTAAGATTTTATTCATTTATTTGAGAGAGAGAGAAAGAGTGGGATGAGGGGGAGAGGGAGAAGCAGACTGCCCGCTGAGCAGGGAGCTTGACGTGGGGCTCGATCCCAGGACCCCAGGATCATGACCTGAGCCGGAGGCAGACGCTTAACCCACTGAGCCACCCAGGCGCCTCATGGGGTGCCTTATAAGGGCACTAATCCCATCTTGAGGGCCTCACCCTCATGACCTAATCACCTCCCAAAGGTCGCATCTCCTCTAATACCACCTTGGGGGTAAAGATTTCAACATGTGCATTTTGGGGGGATACCAACACTCAGTCCATTGCAGTAATAATGAAAATATTAACCACTCTACTAAGTTCTAAGCCTAGTGGTTAAGAATATATGCCTTGGAGGCAGAGACACTGGGTTTGAAGGTTCATTCTGCTTTTTACTACCTGTAGAAAGGATAAGCAACTGGAGCAAGTTACTTCTACTCTCTGAGCCTACATTTCCTTTTCTGTAAAATGGCTTCAGGCCTGTCCTGGGAATTAAGTGAAGTAATGCATTTATCATTATGTCTGGCACAGTAGCTGGCTTTTGTTTTTCTCCATGTTGTTAGTACGATTACTATTATTAATAAGAACTAAGGATTTTCCACATGGATATAAATATGAATAGAAAGTATTTCTTCTAATGATCACACCTAGCTGGGGCAGGCAGATCTCTAGGCACATTAATTAACTGTAAAATAGGTTGTATAAAAATAGAGGATAAGATTAATTCTTTTTTTATTAACGTATATTGTATTATTTGTTTCAGGGGTACAGCTCTGTGATTCATCAGTCTTGCACAATTCACAGCACTCACCATAGCACATACCCTCCCCAGTGTCCATCACCCAGCCACCCCATCCCTCCCACCCCGCTCCACTCCAGCAACCCTCAGTTTGTTTCCTGAGATTAGGAGTCTCTTATGGTTTGTCTCCCTCTCTGGTTTTGTCTTGTTTCATTTTTCCCTCCCTTCCCCTATGATCCTCTGTCTTGTTTCTCAAATGAGGATAAGATTAATTCTGACAGAGATTTGGGAAAGTATCAGACTCATTTAAGCTGAGCTTTTATTTATTATTTTTTATTTTAAAGAGTTTATTTATTTATTTGACAGAGTGGGCGAGAGAGAGCACAAATAGAGGCAGGGGGAGAGGGAGAAGCAGACACCCGGCTGAGCAGGGAGCCCGATGCGGGGCACGATCCCAGGATCCTGAGATCGTGACCTGAGCTGAAGGCAGATGCTTAACCTACTGAGCCACGCAGGCGCCCCTAAGCTGAGCTTTTAAAGCTAGATTAGAGTTTGGAGAATGGAAGGGGTCAAATTAGGCACAGGTATGCGCTATGGAAAACGCTGGAGGTGTGAGGTTTCTAAGTTGACCTCAGAAGTTCTCTGTGGGAGGAGTACAGCATCCGTGCTAAGAGAGGGGTCGTGTCTGCACAGGATTACTGAGGCACTTTACCCGGGGACAGTGAGGGCTCATTCAATTTGTTTGCTAAATTGGAAATCTGTTCGCAATTTTTTTGCTTGTTATTTTGAAAAATAACACACACAGCTGGAGATTCTAATGCTGTAATATTTGTAAAATTGTAATGTCAGTCAGTAGGCCCGCTGGACAGTGTAGCTATTTAAAAATTTTAAGTGGAAAATATATATTAAATTTTATGCTGCTGATATTATCCATTCAGAAGTCAAGGAAGATGTATTTCTCTTTCACTAGCTAGATGACCCTTGCTATCCTTAATTGTCAATTTAGGTGAAGATACTGGAGGAGGAGGAAAGAATAAAATCTTTTAAGCATAATTATATGTTTAGCTTATATGTGCTAGGTAATTAATTTGTTTCCTGAGAACTAGAATTTTTGACTAATTAAGATCAGAATGGAAGAAAAGATAGGAAGAAAATTATTATTACTTACCATAGAATTAAGCAATAATTATTACAATTGTAGCCTATTTTTCCAAATTGTTTTTATTTAAATATTTGAAAATATAAATATATTAACATGGTTCAGAAATTTAAAAAGTATGTAAGGTTTACAGTGAAAACTCTCTCCCCCACCCTTGATCTTAGCTCTCTGATTTTTTCTGGATAACTTCTGGTATTTGTTTCTTCCATATCCTTCTAGAGTTTCTTTATGCACCTATAAGCAAGTAAAGATATATGTACATTTAAAAAAATTCCAGTATAATTAGTATTATATTAGTTTCAGGTATACAGTATAGTTACAGTTATATATATAGTTATACAGTATAGTTCTACACATTACTCCATGCTCATCACCATAAGTACATCTTAATCCTTTTCATCTATTCCACCCATGCCTGCCTCTCTTGCCACCTCCCCGCTGGTAACCATGTTTGCTCTCTATAGTTAATTCTGCTTTTTTTGGTCTCTTTTTTTCTTTGTTTTGTTTCTTAAAATCCACATATGACTGAAATCGTGTGATATTTGTCTTTCTCTGACTTATTTCACTTAAGCCTTATACCCTCCATATCCATCCATGTAGTTGCAAATGGCAAGATTTCATTCTTTTTTAATGGCTAACATATGTCTTCTTATTTTTCATTTTTATCACAAAATGTAGCACACTGTATATACTATTCTATACCTTGATTTTTTTCACTTAACTTGCCTTGGATATCTTTTCATATCAGCACAGAGAGCGTCCTTCTCCATTCTGTATTATTTCTGTGTAATGTACAAGAACTCATGTAACCAGTCTGACACGTAGACATTTAGGTTGTTTGCTATCATTTCAGTTGTAGCTTTTCAATTCACGTGGTCTGAAATGTATTTTAGAAGAAAGAAACTGAGACACTACTATGGAGAAAATTATAGTGTTGTGGTTAGACATAAAGGGATTTTAGTAACCTGTCTGCATAAAGGTATTCATTATATGAGAAAAGAATGGTTAATGAAAAAATGAGGCATTTCTTCCTTGGTTTAGGAACCTGTTTCCTACTAAAAGGTTGAATGTAACTTGAATGTAACTCTAAGTTTTACCTTTCTGATAGCCCAAGACATCAAGAGTTGTGTTTATATTAAGCTATGTTTCTAAACCCAGACTCTTCATAAACCATACATTTGAAGCACAAAATACCACAAAGTAGTGTAAAAAATGTAGTTGAAGAAATAGTACAGGTTTTCTGGAATTTGACTAAAGAGACTTACTTTTTTCCTAATGCCAAGATAAGATGGGAGTTGATTTTAGTCTCTAGCCCAGACCAACTAAGGCTAATATAATATTAAGAATCATCTTACAGTTCTGGTCAGCCATCATTGCCTTGGCCTTCATTT